AGCGCCGACCCCGGGCCCTGAGACCGGGAGCTGCGGGCCTGGGTGGGGTGAAGCGCCCTCCGCCCCAGCCCGGCTGGTGAGAAGGGAGGATTCCGCCCTTGGAGACGACTTTTCAAAGGAGCGGGACTCTCTTCCGTGACCTTCCACCCCGAGTCCTCTCCCGTCCCTCCTCTCCGGCTTTGGGTTCGGGAGTTGGCGCTCGCTCGCCACCCAGACTGCCCTCTAGGCCCGGAAGGTGGACCACAGCGCTCACCTGAAGGCGCTGGGCTCTCGGCCCCTCGCCCCATCACCATCATCACCATCAGCTGTCCTGGCCTTTCCCCTTCCCTGGTCTCTAGGGGGCTCCCTCGCTCCTATCTCTATCGCCAGGCCCCTCTCCTTTGCAGTTGGCTTGGATGCAGCTGGCAAGACCACAATCCTGTACAAACTGAAGTTGGGGGAGATTGTCACCACCATTCCCACCATAGGTGAGTCCGGAGGCCAGGTTGGCGGAGCGGGAGCGCGCCGCGGCTGACCTCCTCGGGATCCACCCCCCACTCTGCACCCCAGTGCTGGGAGCTGACACCAGATACAGCTACCTGAGAAGTGGGTCACGGTATCTTTACGTGTTGGATGGTGCCCAGGAGGGCTGGATGTGCCCTAACCCCGCCCCATTTGTGGACTGCTGGTCTCTGGGCTTCTGATCTCTTGGGCCTTGCCCATTGCCCTCTGGTTTTGTGTCCCCGCTGAATTCACCTAGTTTTAGTGAGTTCCTTCCTTTCAGGACTTTTTCTCTCTCTTCCCTCCCCCCCCACCCCCCCAATTATCTGCAGGCTTCAACGTGGAAACAGTGGAATACAAGAACATCTGTTTCACAGTCTGGGACGTGGGAGGCCAGGACAAGATTCGGCCTCTGTGGAGGCACTACTTTCAGAACACTCAGGTGGGGGGCAGGGATGTCTCCCCAACCCCAAGGGAGGGAGTGTTGGGGTTAGGAAGACTGAGATGCTGGCCTAGTCTGGGCCCCCAGGCCAGGTTAAAGCCCTGCTCCCTTCCTCACTCCCCGCCCCCTTTGGTAAGCTAGCTTCTCATCATCCTTCAGAATTGGCCTTAGTCTTCTGAGACCCAGCCACCTTAGGGGTGTTCTGAGAAGCAGGGTTGGGGTCCAGGGTCCAGGCTGCCTGATTTAGCTCTCATCACCTCTCTCCCTGTTCCCACCTATGTCTTTTAGCTAGATTGCTTGCCTGAGGGCAGAAGCTGTATCCTTTGCAGGGTGCCTCCACTTTGTGCCAGGACATCTGCCGAGCCTTAGTGGAAGTTTTTAGAGACGATTAAAGAGAGAAAGAGCCAGACTAAAGTATGTTCTAGACGGGAGTGAATGCTCTACCTTCTTTTCTGCCCAGGGTCTCATCTTCGTGGTGGACAGTAATGACCGGGAGCGGGTCCAGGAGTCGGCTGATGAACTTCAGAAGATGGTGAGCGCCAGGGCCCTGGGACTGAGCCCTCGGTGTGGAGACAGGGCTCTGTCGTGGTACGCAGTCAGGAAATGCCTCTCGGGCCTTGAATGTGTGTTTCTCTTTGTGGACACAGGCACAAGGAGACTCTCACCCTGTTTTGAATTTGGGTCAGGTAACAGGTATAGGACATGAACTGTCACATCCTCACCTCTGAGTCTGAGGGGTTAGTGGGAAGAGGGGAATATGTGGTGGAGAGGAACATCATCTTACGTTCTTGCTTTTCCATTTCGAAATTTTGTCATTTTGATTAGGGCAATTACTCAAATTAGAAAAAGGCTCTTTCTAGACGTAAGGCCAAGATGGCCTCCAGTGAATTATAACTCTGTGTCTTGTGTTCAGCAGTAGACTACACAATATTTTGTTTTTCCCACAAATATGCTAGAAGGAGGAAAGGAGAGCTGCCCTACACAGCAGGGAAGAGGGAGCCTGGGGACCCCAAAGGACCCCAGATTCCACCCCCTTGGCCTCTCTCAGCTGCAGGAGGACGAGCTGCGGGATGCGGTGCTGCTGGTCTTTGCCAACAAGCAGGACATGCCGAACGCCATGCCCGTGAGCGAGCTGACCGACAAGCTGGGCCTGCAGCACTTGCGCAGTCGCACGGTGAGGGGCCTGCCTCTCCCAAGGGAGCCACAGGCTGGGCAGGGAGTGAAGGCATTACTAACCTCTTTCTTTCCTTCTCCCCCTAGTGGTACGTCCAGGCCACCTGTGCCACCCAAGGCACAGGCCTATACGATGGGCTGGACTGGCTGTCCCATGAGCTGTCTAAGCGCTAACCAACCAGGGGCCGGCCCCTGCTGCCCGGAAGCCCCCGCGTGCATCCCCGGGATCACCAGACTCCCGGACTCCTCAGGCAGTGCCCTGCCCTCCTGCTCCTCCTCCCACAGACACAGGCCTCTGCTCCTGCCCCTCCTGCCTGCATGTTCTCTCTGTGGTTGGAGCCCGGAGCCTTGTTCTCCAGGCACAGAGGGGTCCACTCTCCTGCCTGTTGGGACCTGTGGAAGGGGCTTCCAGGACCGAGACCCTTTCTTCCAGAGGAGGAGCAGGGACCTGGGTTTACTTTTGTTTGTTCCATTTTGGGCATACCCTTGGGGCCAGGTGGGAGGGGAGGGGGGACTCCGGGTGGTGCTAAGATATGGCACTGGATATTGAGTAATAAATTTGCTGTGGTTTGTACATGATGCGGTCTGTAGCCTAGTAGTGGGGGCTGGGTTATTGGATGCAACGAGCCCTTATGGGGGAGGTTCAAAGCAGCTAAGGCTGCCGGCCCAAACCCCCACCCCGCAAGCACACACACATACATTGCTGCCTTCGTGTAGCTCAGCAGCTCCCTCCTTATTGAGGTGGGAAGTACTGCAGGGGTTCCCGTGGAGGAAATCCTATTTCATCCCAATTCCAAGGGGCCTTTGCTGGGGGGTAATAGGATCTAACTTCTTGCTTCTGTAAACTGCATAACTCTCCTATCCTAGCCAGCTGTGGTTCTTAATGATTACTATCACATTGAAATTTGAGGGGGAGGGAACATTTGTTAAAAACAAGAGTTCTGTGCTCGCTTCAGCAGCACATATACTAAAATTGGAACGATACAGAGAAGATTAGTATGGCCCCTGCGCAAGGATGACACGCGAATTCGTGAAGCGTTCCATATTTTTTTTAAAAAAAAAAAGAGTCCTGAGGTACACTGGAGAAAACATGAATATGCATCTTTAAAGTCACGCAGCCGATTCTGTGGTCTATTCGCCTTATTTTGTGAAACATTGGTAGGGCCCAGGGATTCCAGTTCCTTACTGTGCACCACTGGGACTCTCTACCTGGGTAGACAACCCCCGCCAGGGGGAATAGGACCAGGGCTGTGGGCTACTCTCCAAGCGTGACTCACTCTGCCCGTTTCCCTTTGCAACCCAGCAAAGCTTAAAACCTACCATTGCCACCCTTTTCCTAGTATTTTATTTTATTTGCTGTTCTCCCTTCTTTCATGTCAGTTTCTCCAGGTTGTGGGCTATTTTCTCCGTGAGCTTGGTAGGAAGTGAGTCCCGGAGGTAAAGGCTAACAGACTCTGGGGGTCTGGGCTGGTATTGGAGGCAGCACTGGTTGTCTGTGCAGCAGCAGTGCAGCTGGGGATTTGATGGGTCCTCGGGACTCTCCCCTCCCGGGCTATTCTCTTCCTCTGCTCCTGAGCCAGCCTTTCCTAGTTAAAATGAGTCGTTTGATCGTTGCTGGTTATCTCTCTAGCTCAGTGGTTCTCAGCCTTGGCTGCACATTAGAATCACCTGGGAATCTTTTTAAAATCCTGATTTCTGGGCCTCGTCCTCTGGAAATTCTGTTTCTTTGTGATGGGGTGAGGCCACAACATGAGTAACAAAGAAACAGAATTTCCAGAGGACAAGGCCCAGAAATCAGGATTTTAAAAAAGATTCCCAGGTGATTCTACTGTGCAGCCAAGGTTGAGAACCACTGAGCTAGGGTATCCTCACCCTCCCTGACATCTTAGCCTCATCCTCCCAAGGGCCACAAAAGGTAACGGATTTTTCTTGGATATTATGAACTCCAAAAACACCGTAAGCCCCCAGGGAGCCAGGTAGAACCCACTTTCTAGGAGAAAAAGGGTTGATTTGTTTCCCCTGTGATTAAAAAGAGAAACAGAAGTGAAGAAGAAGAGGGACTTACCTGAAGTCACAGGTGGTCACTGGCACAAGCTGAAATTCTGATTCTCAGTCTGAACTCAGCTCACATCAGTGCCCGGAGTGGTGTGGAGAGGCCCATGCCCGAGCCTGGGCCCACTTCGCCTGGGTCATGGGTTGGTGCTGAGCCAGGGCCCTTTCCCCACTGTGGTGGGACGAGGGGCAGCTCTCAGTCACAATGCGCCCGGGTCACAGAGGTGCTGCGCCCTAGTCAGCCTCTGCCTGGAAAGTTCCCTCTGGGAACGTCTTCCGGTGGCTACTTTGGGCCTGATTCCAGGCCCTATGGCCTGTGGAACCTCACCACTGGGGGGAAGGCTGGGCCGGAAGGAGTCATCAGCTGTGGTGCCGGCCCCATGGAAGGGGTGGAATGGATGCAAAGACAACCCAATCCGGAAGACCTAAGGGTTGGGCTCATCAGCTGGGCAGGATCCTACCTCACTTATGAGCCATATAAGAATATGGTCACTACTACTGCAAAAGGTCTGGGCCGGAGACAGGTAACAGAGTAAACCTGTACTAGAACCGTTGTCCCCAGTGACTAAGCTCTCACGTGGGGGGAAGAGGGGAAGAGGGGAGGAGGAGAAGGCACTCTACCTAATTACTCTCCTGGCCTCTGCCATTGCTAGCTCAAGACCCTTCTACCCCAGGCTCTTGCCCACAGGTCTCTATTGCTCCATCTCCCTGTCTCTAAACCTATTCCAGGAGGTGCCGCTCAGCCCTGGCCTCGCTATTTTGTCTAGCTCCGTATGTCCCCTACCCTGCATTCCAGCACAGAGTGGTTGTGCCATCACAAAGAGGAGAGGTGGAGAGCTCAGGCTGGAAGGCAGAATTTGGGGGATCCAACAGTTAAATCAGTGGATACTGCAAGACTATGTTTTTGTCCTGGTTGTAGTTTGGAAATGGGGTACTCTAGAAGCCCTAGGAGAGTTGGTTCTCATTTTAGAGAGCGATGTAGGCCCCTCTGGGATGGTACTAAGATTGAAGCAGTAGCAAGATCCTCTTGCTTATAGCAGGGTTGATCGCAGCTAAAGCAAACAATTTCATCTAAACTATCTGTGCTTCCTACTGTAAGGGGTGTTGCTTTTCTCCTGCCATGTTCAGGAGGTGTTCTTTGGAGATGAAAGTGTTGGCTGAGTATGCTATTCAGGGGCAACAGTGAGGAAGAGAGAAGTAAGACTTAAACCAAAACATTTCTTTAAAAACTAGGTAATGAAGAAAGTGGTCAAGGAAGAGAGGGAGGTTTACCTCCCATTCGTTGGAGGTGGGCATCCAGAACTTCTCTTGAGGTCCTGAGAAGCCCTATGGCTCCAGTGCAGGATGTGTCCTGTGATCTTTTGATTACTGTTGGATGAGAGAGTAAAGAAACCAACATCAAGGAGACTGATGAGGGGAAGTTGGTTGATCTTGAGGAAGGTTCTAGGGTGGTTCCCGAGGTGATGGTTGTAGGACTAGCCACTTGCAGTACTAATTTCCCTCTCCTCCCTCCCAATGCTTCCAGACCTGGGAGATTCTGGTCAGCAATGAGCATGAGACACAGGCTGTGGTGCGGCTAAGGAGCTTGCAGGGCCTCTACCTTCTGTGTGAGGCAGATGGCTCTCTGCGCTATGACCGGCCGAGGACAAGCCACCACGGATGCTTCCTACTCCGTTTCCACCGCAATGGCAGGTGGACCCTCCAGTGCATAATCAGTGGTCGTTATCTGGAGTCCGATGGCCACGATGTGTTCTGCAACTCCCGGGTCCTCTCAGCTTACCATATGTGGACGCCCCGGCCAGCCCTGCATGCCCACGTGGTCCTCTACAGCCCCTTCAACCACTGCTATGCCAGGGCCGACTCCACTGCAGGTTGTGTCTGGGTGGACGCACCAGTTCCCTGCCTGGGGGAATGTGGATTCCTGTTGCATTTCCAAGATGGATGCTACCACCTGGAGACATCTACACATTGTTTCTTGTCCCACTTAGACCAACTGGTCTCCCAACCCTCATCACAGACTGCTTTTCACATGCAAGTGCGGCCTGGAGGAGTGGTGGCACTGAGTGATGGAGAAGGGGGCATGTTGTATGCTCAGGGCCCACGCCTGCTCCTGGGCCTGGGGTCCAATCCCCGTAGGGGCGAGGAGTGGTTCATCCTACAGCATTGCCCCACTTGGGTCAGCCTCAGGGCAAAGACTCGGAAGTTCCTCTCCGTCCTCTATGGCAAGTACTGGGTCCGATGCAGCCATGGAGGAAGGGAGGGCTAGCTACTGAAAAGAGGAAAATGTGTTTGGGATCAGTGAGGAGTTTTGAACCTACGCATAAGGAATATCTAGGGGTCCCAAGATCTCTGTGCCATGGAGCAGGGCAATAAAGCAGGGGTGTGGGCTTTAGGGGAAAGGGTCCTGGGTCTTCTCCAGGCTTCTAGGGCCCAATAGAAGGTGATGAAGGACAAGGAGGGAAAGCAGAGGGAACCCCAGTCATAAAGCATAGAGAAGGGGCTGAAACTGAGGATGAGACCAGACTCGGGCTTATTATGACATATTCTTCTTCTGCAGATGTTGAGGTATATGCTGCCTCTGAACACTTAACCCCAATGTCGTTGTTCCAGTTTGAAAGTGACAATGACAGACCCATTTTGCAGCTTCGTTCAGCCAATGGTTGCTACCTAGCCCAGGTAAGACTTGGCTTTCTGGGCAAGATCACCTTTCAGCCCTAAATTCTTTCTCTCTAGACACACTTTATCCTTTTTTCAAGGGAGATGACCAGATTGTAGAGTGAGCCATGGAGGCCCTTGTCCATAAACATTCATTTTCACCCAATGGGCCAATATTCATCCAATGAGGCCTCTTTTTTTTTTGTTGTTAATCCTCATCCGAGGATACTTTTTTCATTGATATTTTAGAGAGAATGGAGGAGAGAGGGGGAGAAAAAAAAAGAGAAACACCCATGTGGAAGAGACACATCGATTGGTTGCCTCCCACATGCGCCCCAACCGGAGGTGGGATTCAAGCCTGCAACTGAGGTATGTGTCCTTGACCAGAATCCAGCCCTCATCGACCCTTTAGTCCAAGGGCCAATGCTCTAACCACTTAGCCAACCCATTAGGGCAGTGATGGTGAACCTATGACACGCGTGTCAGAGGTGACATGCAAACTCATTTTTTTTGGTTGATTTTTCTTTGTTAAATGGCATTTAAATGTATAAAATAAATATAAAAAAGATAAGTCTTTGTTTTACTATGGTTGCCAATATCAAAACATTTTTATATGTGACACGGCACCAGAGTTAAGTTAGGGTTTTTCAAAATGCTGACACGCTGAGCTCAAAAGGTGTCAAATGTACACGTTTCTATATGTGACACGGCACCAGAGTTCAGTTAGGGTTTTTCAAAATGCTGACACGCCGAGCTCAAAAGGTTCGCCATCACTGCACTAGGGCCAATGGAGCCTTTAAAAAAAAAAATCAATTTTATTGAGGCATAACTCACATACAATAAAATACACCCATTCTAAGTGTGCAATTTAA